CCGGCTCCCCTCCCTCCCTCCTGGCTGTTGTTAGGATCTGGCAGTGGTGGCAGAGCACCGCCACTGTGCCTTCCCTCCCCCTATCCTCCCCACTCCCTGCTGGCTTTTGTTGGGGCCTGGGGGCTGTGGCAGCAGCAGCAGCAGTGAGGCCAGAGCAAAGGGGTGAAGCCTGCACTGCGCAGCCAGCACCGTGTGCTGCCGCCTCCAAGGAGCTCCACTCCATCCCTGCTCTGCCGTCCCAATCTGTCCCCGCTGTCCCCCTCTGCCTCCAAGAGGCAGGGCTGTGGGGGCTGGGGAGGGGGGTGAGGCTAGCGCTGCTGGTCTCGCCTTCCCACTCCGGCCCCTATCCCTACTGTAATGGCAGCGCTCCGCCACGTGTCCGTGTCTGTGCAAAGCATTCTGATTGGTTGTTTCAATCAGCATTGTGATGGGCTGCAAATAAAGCGTTATGGACAGACAGACAGACTAACGCTTTTATTATATTAGGATACAGCCCTACGCCAAGGAAAGACCACTGTGAGAGATTTAAAGTAATTAAACGGATTAGACAGCAACAAAGAGATGAAGAAGTGACTTCACTAAATGGCTCATCTGTGGTAGCAGAGAAAGGCCCAACAGGAACCACTGACTGAAAGCTGAAGTCAGGCAAACTGAAATAAGGAAGGATATGCAGTTTTTTTGCTAATGAGGGTGATTAACTACTTGAACAAACTTCCAAGAGAAGGGCTGGATTCTTCATATCTTGGTTTTCTCAGATCAAGACTGGAGGCTAAATCCTGTTTCACCTTTAAAAAACAAAATGCCACTTACGTGTAATTTTTGGTACCTATCTAGAGTTTAAGTTCTATTTTCTCTTTCAAGTAGATAGAAGATACTCATTAGTCAAACACAAGTTGTCAGGCCCAATACAGGAATAAATGACTGACTGACATACTGTGGTCTGTGAGACACAGGAGGTCAAACTGGATGGCCATAATGGTCTCCTTTAATATGAGGAAGTGAGCCTGGGCTCCCAAAACCTTATGTTATATATCACCAACTCTGGGTGCCAACTTAGAGGGGGTGCCAAAATGGAGGTTCCCCTCATGGAGTCTGCACAGAGGTGGCAGCAGCAGCAGCAAAGTGCAGAGACACTCTTGTCCGCTTACTACAGCCACTGTTTCTCTTGCTGCTAGATTCCCTGATACCCATTACTGCAGTCAACTGAGGTAGTTGCAGTACGGGGCATGAGAGTGCCCACCAGGTTTGCAAAAGGCTGGCCCATGGCACAAACCTTACTAGTTAACACCTCTGGGTCCAAACCATGATGAATTCCGAGTCAGGTAATTCACCAGTTCTCAGTGATATTCAAAGACGCTATCATCTTGTACAAATGTCAATGAACCCTAAAGAGTTAAAGGTGACAGCTAGTAGGAAATTAAGGGAACAAGCTACTGAGAAATTAGGGGATGGGGGCATTAATCTGAGAGTGAGACAGGAGTGCGTCCTTTAGAGAGGGTTAAGAACATTGTCAGTTCAAGCACTAATATCATAAATCAGGCTCCCAAAATCATGAGACTGACTTAAAATGTATGAGATTTTGTCAAAGAATTAATTCTTTGCCTTTTGTTTATTTAGTTTTTATGTTACACAAGGGGAATTTTTCCAGCTTCTGTCTGTAACCACAAGGCTTAGAACATTGCTTTGTTAAAAAATGAAAGATTGGATATTCATGGCTCCAGGAGTGTGGGCTGAAAGAAAAATACTAAATATGACTGGAGTTGGCTAAGGAGACAGGGAGGCTATGCTATGCTGTTATGAAGGGTGTAGTGAGAGATGAGAGTGAATGATTTAGGAGGATGGGCTCCTCAGCCAGAAGGGATCTCAGAATTATATCCTTCAGAAGACTTCCCTGGGTCTTGCCCTTGGGTTAGTCTCACAGCTTGGTGAAGTGAGAATAGATCAAAAGCGGGGACAATGCAGTCTAGCAGATAGGACAGTGGGGGTTCAGGGTGAAGAATGAGGGCAGAGACAGAATCAAGCAGGTAGGATGCTGGGGCTGCCTGGTTTTATCCAACTAATAATGAAAGGCAGTGAGCGTGTCAGAGTGAGTGAGAGAAATGGATCAATAGAGAGATAAAACCTGTGATGGAAGGAGCAGAAGTGGGGGTGGGGAAGAGAGGCATAAAATGCTGCACATCAGAAAGGTTACATTTTCCACCCTGATCTGTAGTCACTCTATGCTGGTGTTAATGGCTGGACAAAGTGCAAAGAAGTGGCAAACTAGGCCTAAATACAGAAAGAGAGAGAGACAAAAACAGGAAGAGACAGAGAGACCTGTGGTTACTACTGCCCTTTAACCTGGCTGTGGACAGTTCAGCAC